TTGGCAACCCGAATGCGTATATGCAGCCTGCGACCGTACTTGACAGCACCTATGCATACAATTTTGCCGAACTGAAGCCTGATTGCACCACTCTGAACATGATTGGTGGTATTTTCATCGTCAAAAGAGAAAAAAGAACCAATCAAGACCCTTCGTTTTCGTCAAACACGATTGTGAAATACATCTGCTTAAAATGCTTGATGAATTTACGCCATAGCGTTGTCAGATTGTCACGATATTCGCGATGCACTGGCTAAGCAGTCGTCCTGGTAATAAAGCAAGTTTCCGTCTGAGTTTTCTGTACATTCGTCGCATACCCTCTATAATTCAGTTTGGTACTACCGTCTAGTATGTTACGAATGTTTGGAACAAAATCTGCCTACCTAGATCACCCAATCGTGTTCTCTGACTGTTTATTTAAAATGATGTTCACATTATTCCCGAGCACTCTTAACCTGAAGTTCGAAATTCGTCTCTAGTCGAGTTTATATGGAAAAGGAACAAGCTGCCATTTATGTGACCAAAATTTATATAAAATAGCCATAAAGTACACCAATCAGTAAAATATCGGATAATTAAATGGCTTTGAGGAAAAAAGTTTTGTAAAATTCAGCTTAAGTCAGCTGTTACATTCCCATGGAAGTTGTTTTCTCATGTCTACCGTCTACTGGTCATTCTTCGTAGAAAAGGGCGGGCGTAGTAGAGCCCTATGCAGAGCATACTGAATCCGAGTATTTCGATTGTTCGCTTCTTCAGGCTACAAATGTTGTGGATGGAGCCGTCGGTTATGACAGCAAGTCTGACAGTGTTCTTACCCATGTTGGCAGCCCGAATGCGTATACGCAGCCTGCGACTGTTCTTGACAGCACCTATGCATACAATTTTACCGAACTGAAGCCTGATTACACCACTCTGAACGTGATTGGTGGTATTTTCCTCGTCGAAAGAGAAAAAAGAACCAATCAAGACACTTCGTTTGCGTCAAACACGATTGTGAAATACAGCTGCTTAAAGTGCTTGATGGCATTACGCCCTAGCGTTGTCAGGTTGTAACGATGTTCGCGATGCACTGGCTAAGCAGTCGTCCTGGTAATAAAGCAAGTTTCCGTCTGAGTTTTCTGTACATTCAAAGGAATCCCATAGCATTAATCCAGAATGTTTTCAATGTAGAGGTCGAGCAGATTCAGATGTTTTTTCATGTTTTTACTAAAAACAAACTTATGCCATACAGGTTCGATCATGCCATTTTATGCGGATTAAATGTTTCTATATTGTTTTGATTCAAAATGAGCAGTCATTCGTTCTACCAATCTTAACCAGTGGGATATATTGACCTTCTAGCCTTTTTATATTTGAGCATACCCTTTTCTCTGTCAAAAGTCAGGGGGTTTGACACATTTGCTTAATTCAGTTGACCCAATCGTGAAAAATTCGCCGCCTCCGTGGGAGTCGAACCCATACAACAGGGAAGGCTTTTGCGCAGCCAACGCTGTCCCATTGAGCTACGAAGCTCATCGTGCGCCGTGAATTTAATCACACTTGGGTCGATTTACTACTCGTTTGGAATCCACCACTACGGATCGCATTAGGAGCGGGTTATCTGTGTGGTATCAGGCCAGAAAATAAAGAGCTACCAGCCTGTAGGTGACTGCACAGGGCTCTGTATGTCAGGGCCCGTTATTCTTCTTCCTTCCTTCGTATACATACGCATGGAACACGAACTTTCGTCTAAACCGGTGAGGAGGCACCGTCCAAGACGACATTTTCTGGGATAGCCGTTTCTGCCTTATTAGTTCTCGTCAGTAAGCCTTAAAAAAACCTCAGGCCTGCAGGGTATCCTTACTATTCAGCTTCTTGTAGTTGGTCTTTAGACCCATCCTTTGCTGTCTGATAGGTGAATTCCAGTTTCTTTAAAACTTTTTCATTACTTGACATCGCGAAGCCTTTCTTTTTTCTTTTTCATGAGACAATTTCAAGGCGTGAAGCTGCATGCGCATCAGTTAATGGTTACACAACTTGCTAAGTTTCCAACTGCATGCGGTATATGAACTACGTAAGCCGGCTACCTATGGTTTAGCCGGTCTTCCTCGAAAGCCTCTGTATTGTTTTCTAACTATCTCTGCCCTCCATTTTCAAAGCTTTGGTGAAGGCTAAGTTGGTCGCCAACCTTCAATACCCCCTAGCGACAGAATTCTGTCTTGCGGGACTGGTGGTATTAGTTTAGTTTATTAGTTTGATTTTAGTGTAGTTTTGTTAAGTCTAGCTTAGTTAAATTTAGTATGTAGTAGTTATTTAAGCATATTTATCTACCTTTGGCAGTGTCTAACTAAAATTAAATTAGTAAACTATTGTAAAACTAATAAAACTAAAAGTACCCACAGGGGCTAGGGCTATCTAGGGTGGGCGACCATCTTAACTTTTACCAAAGCCTTAACTGCAAAATTTTTTAATTGCGCTGCTACTCCCTTTTAAGAACTTCACTTCATGCCTTTTTTAACTTTTCTCTTGGACTTCAAATAGTGGCAGCCGTGGATGTTCGTGTGCCGTCGCTCAAGGGTTCCTCCAAAACCGATGGTAATGCAGGAGCTTCATCGTCTTCCTCCTCCTCCTCTCCGTTGCCAACGCCGGAACCTCCCGTGCCTCCATTGGTCTGGCGATTGATGTTGGTTGGAGGGTGAGTGAGTGATTCACTCTTATACTGCTTACCAGATGGTGAATGTGTACCCTTCCGCACGCACCGGAGGTATGCCTGACCCCGCACAGCTGGCCGAGCTATCTGCTAGTACCTGGACGCCTGCAATCGTTAAGAAATCTGTTTTTTTGTAAGAGTAAACATGTCTTCCCGGACGTTTCGGCGAACTTGGTCGGGTCACACTTTAACGGGTGTTACTAGCACAAACTGCAACATAGGGT